TCGCTCCGTCGCTGTGATGGACAGCACGCACGACCAAGTGAAAAGCTCCAAAATCCGCCAACGGGTGCGAGGCGGTGCCTTGGGTGTCTTGGTCAATCGTGCTGCTTTGCTGGAGACCTCTAGGGCAGCGGCATCTGCGATCTGCTGGGCTGCATTCAAAAGGCGACGTCGTTGTCCCTTGGTGAGGATCTCACTGCCTTCCTCTGTGATACCTGTCGTCAAGGCATCCTCATAGTGCTCATCCTGGATGTCCGAATCCCCCTCCTCTGAATCCGAAGTGTCCGACTTCTCTGAGGGTCCATCCTCATGGGAGGATTCTGACTGCCCTGACGAAAAAGATCCATGGCTGTCCGATTCGGAGTCGGACTGCTGCTCACAAGTCCTCAGTGGGACCTTGTGCAAAACTTGGTCAAGACCAGCAATGGCCTCGTCCTCCATGTGGCTCTGCCATAGTGCCAAATCTTCCAGTTCAGACTCTGGCTCTGCCAGGGAATGAAAAGATGCATCCGACTCCTCCGACGAACTGTTGGCGTCGTGCGCCGAAGGTGACTGCTCATCCTGGCTCTGCCAGAGTGCAAGGCTGTGTGGCTCCTCTCGAAGCACCTGCCTGAGTTCTCTCAGCTCGGGAGTGTTCCAGTCATCGGCGCTGCCGGATCCAAGGACATCCAAAACAGGATGTCGAGTAGGTGACAGCTCTGTCGGGATCTGGCGGCCGTCAATGACCGTGGTGCCAGAGCCAAAGTCCATGGTCACCTTCCATCGAGCCAACTCAGACGGTCCCACCAAAGCGGGACAGTGGGAGATCCTTGGATCATCCTTGGTGTCTTCCACCACCGCCACACGAAGCCAAGTACGGATGCCACTCTTGCCGAGGACAACGGGGTACAAACCCGCCGATGTGGAAAGTACTGGAGCTCCCGCACCAAACCTGAAGGTCTCTTCATGCTCCAGCACTTCGTAGGGCAACTGCATCTCATCAAGGGACTGCTGCATCTTCTTGTGCCACCGTGCTCCTGCAACAGCCGTACGACAGCCACTGTCCAAGATGACCTTGTGAGCTGCATGCTCCACCATCCAAGTCTCCATTGGATCTTCCAGCTCATTGTCGGCTGTCAATGCTCCGTGGTCCATGCTGTAGTAGAGCACTTTCTTCAAGTGGCAATCCCTGCATGATGCCCAGTGAGCTGCACCATTGGCCCCCCATCTCAACCTCTCGAATGGGTGGCGACAGCGATCTTGTTCAGGCGTCGGCAACTCCGAGGCCTCGGAAGGCTTGACTCGTCCCTTCCGATCAAGAGCTCCTTCATAGAGAGCTCGTCTGAACTCCTTCAACCTTTTCTTCCTCACTGGCTCCGGCAGAGTGCTCACTGACGCCGGTTCCGGAGCTGGCGTCGTCGATGAGCTGGCAGCAGTGTAGCCCTCCTTCTTCTTGTCTGGGCGTGTCACCCTCTCAGGTGTGCCCTTCTTGAACAACTGCTTGGATGCCTCCATGTCCCTCTCCTCTTTGAGCTTCTTGTAAAGCTGCTTCTTCTCTTCTTTGGACATGTAGGGCAGGATTTCCAGCATCTCTGCGGCCGGAAGGTCCGTCTCCATAGGTCGGGCCTTGCTCTTGGCTGCAACAGCCTTCAGCTCCTTCTCCTTTTCTTTCACCTTTTCTTTCTTCTTCTCCAGTCTTCGCTTCAGCTTGTGATCATCTTCATCTGCCTCTTTCTCCAAGGCAGCCAGCACTGTCCTCAACGCAGCCTTGTACTTCGAGGCTTTCTCCTTGGCCTGTTCAGGGGATTTGCCAGCCGTGAAAGCCAGAGGTTCCTCTTCTGAACTGCTGCTGCTTGAGGAGATCACTGAGCTGGAGTCAGAGCTGTAAGCCTTGATTCGCTGCCAGCCTTCCATGAAGGTCCAATTGACCTTGTGGACCTGGAGGCCCTTTGTGCTCTTGTCTTGCGAACCTGGCTCTTCTTTGACCTGGTTGCTTCCTCTGGCCTGGGGCGAACTGTCTGTGGCAAAGTGGACCTGGGTGGAGCTCTTGGGAGTTTCTTCCCTCGGCTGATCCGTTCCGTTCTTCACGTTGGGGCACTCCGGATCGCCGTGCCAATGTCCAATCTGCTTGCAAGAAGCGCACTTGGATTTGGCTTTCCTCTGGTCCTTCGAGCGGTACTCCACAAAGCGACCGCCCTTCTTTCCTTTGCCCTTGGACTTGCCGTCGCTGTAGCCCCTTGCCTTGCGAGCTTCCGCTGACTTCTGCTTTGCTCGCCAGCCTGCTGCATAGGCTTCACGAAGATCCATGTCATCATCTTCCCAGCCTCCTTCGTCGTCCCACTCCCAGTAGGAGTAGTAGCCTTGGTTCCAGGCTTCTTGCTCCAGGTCCTCATCGTCTGCTTCCTCCCAATCATCATCTTCATACAAAGCCTCGTCGGCTTCGTCTTCTTCTGGAATGCCCTCTTCATCATCATCCCAGTCTGGCTCTTCCTTCACTTCAGCCAGGTGTGCACGGGATGATCGATGCTGATGATAGCGGGAAGACCTTGACGTCGAGGGGTGCTTCCATTTGCGGGGCTGCTTGTCATGAGCCTTGTACTTGCCTTCCTCCGCATGGATGTTGGCACACCTGAAGCGAAGCACCTTCTCGATGGCCGTGGAGACATACTTGCCTCCGGCACTGTAGAAGATGTCCATCCTCTCTTTCTTCGTGAGCGATGCCCGGCTGAGCATCCTCTGGGCGAACGACTTGTCGGAGAGCGTCGTGCCCGTGTCTTCGGCCAGATATTCGGCCCTCAACCTCTTCAGGGTGCTGATGTAGGAGGCGATGGCCTGACCAGGTGTTCGGCGATAAGTCAAATACGCCTCTTGCTTCTCTTCGAAGCGTTCATCAGCTCTTGCGCCATACGATTCTTCCAGCAATCGAAGGACTCGGTTCAAGCCTCCAGGCTCGCGCATCTCTTCGATCTGAAGTTGATTCAAGATCTGGCGCGGCTCACCCTGGCAACTGAGGTAGATGAGCATGGCCAATTCGGCATCGTCCAACCTGTAGAGCGCCCGTTGTGCTTCAATCGTGCGCTTCCATTCCTTGTAGTGTGTCCTGGAGCCCTTGAACATCTCCAGCCTGACCTGACTCAAGGATGGCTTGGATCTGTCTTGCTGCTTTCGGGCCTGTTGCGTCAGCAATGCCCGCAGTTCACTTGTGCCTGCAGTCGAGGCGTTCGAGCTGGTCCTGTTGGAGCTCGCTGGAGAGGAAGTCCGGTTGGTCGAGGTCCGATTGGATGAGGCTCTGCCTGATGAAGGACCTGACGGACCTGAGGAGGGAGGATCTGGCGGTCGCTGCCGCGGATCTCTTGGATTCCTCCGGTATTGGCGGGGCCCCCTGCTGTCGTCCGTGTAGATGGAAGGCTCCACCGGAGGATCAGCCTCAAACTGCTCCTCTTCCTCACTCTCTTCATCTTCTTCATACGAGTACTCTGAGAAGTACTCATAGCCATCATCTCCGCCATCTCCACCATCGTCGTCATCGTCATCGTTGTCTCCGTCCGGCGGGTCCGGACCTGGTGGAGCAGGCTTTGACTTCTTGGCCGCGGGCTTTGGGATCTCATCCTTCTCCTTGCCACTCGGCCTGGCTTCCTCATCTCTCTCTTTCTTTTCCTTCTTCTCTTTCTTCTCACCGCGTCCCGGCGATGACTTGGTTCTCGCCTCCTTGGACGCCTTCTGGTCCTTGCTGTCCTTGCGCTCCTTCTTTTCTTTGTCTGCTGATCGGTCCTTTTTGACCTTGTCATCCTTCTTGTCCTTGGCGTCCTTCTTGTCCTTGACGTCCTTCTTGTCCTTGACGTCCTTCTTATCCTTCGCCTTGTCAGCAGACTTCTCTTTCCGCTCCTTGGGATTCCTCGCCACTGGAAGAGAGCGCTCAGACTTCGTCTTCTTGTCCTTCTTCACCGTTCGAGCTGCTCCATCGGGGTGTTCCAGCGTCGATGCTCGAGGTGATGGAGGCGCTGCATGAGCTCCTGTGGGCTGGCTTGTAGTCTGATCACCTTCCTGGCGAGGAAGATACCAGGAACCATCCATGGATGTCGAAGGCTCATACGACAGCCATTGAAACCCAGTCCAGAACATCCAGATGCCTGTCGTTGGTGATCTATACCAGCCTGGCACTTGTTGGGACCATCCTGCACGAAAGGTCTGGTCCGCCGTGTAGGTCGTGTGACCTTTGCCTGAGCTCGCTTCTGCCTTGCCTCCTTTGTGGGTCTTGCCCTTGCCCTTGGTCACGTCATCGTGAGCGTGGGGGTTGGCTCGTCCTCGACCGCGACCTCTTCCACGCTGGCGAGATCGTCCTCGCTCCTCGTCTTCATGCGTGGCTCTGCCACGATCCCTGGCGCGGCCAGGTGCCGAGGCTCGGCCTCGGTCCGCCACCTCGGGCGGTTCGGTGGTGCCACCACCAGGGGACTCCGCCCCGTCCCATGTGGGCACCGGGATGGCTTCGGCCGACGAGTCAGCCATCCGGTCCCAAGGCCCAGGTGTCAGGGCCGCCCTCTCTTTCGAGGGCTCCGCTACCAATGCGGAGTGAATTGGGCTCAACGAAAGAAACGGCGCCGCCGAACGCAAAGCTTTTGCCTGCAAGCGGCTTGATCAAGCTGCGGATTGCAGCAACATGCACACAACACACCACAGCGCACCACCCTCTGTCAATCTCCACAAAAACAACATATTAGACAGCAAACCGTTACCAATTTTCAAGCTAGCACTCTTCATCTCAAGTCATTCTGCTCCATGAGGTAGATCTTTCTGCCCACGAGATTCTTCTTTCCCCGGCCATGGCCATGCCCAGTCAGTTGATTTGGCTCAAACAGAGCAAACTCACCTCCCCTTATAGGTCTCAAGATCCTAACGCAGCCAGAGTAGCTCCCAATCTCCAAATCCACACCTCTGAGTTAGCAGTACCCCTCTTTTCTAACAAACCACTGAAGGGTTTTTGACCAAACCAAAACGGATCGCACAAGTCTTTTGATCCACCCCTCCTCTTCATCATGAAGCCCTGCCACATTGGGCTTTGCGGGCTCTGGGATGAACCTCCCAAGTTCAAAGACGCCACGCCAAACAAATGCATGCAGGGACAGGGGAATCAGGGGCAGAAGTTGCAACACCTGATTTTCTGACTGCCGGTTTGCCAGGAGTCTCTACCTTGGAACCACTAAATTCACAGCGCGTGAATGTGTATCAGTGCTGTCTCCCAAAAGCTGCATACGTTTCTGCCGTAAGGAAGCCTCCCACCGCTCGGTGCCCCAACACGTCCCGAGTCTGCCGACCATCTGCCGCCACATGCACCGTGACCTCGGGCGGAAAACATCGTCGGACTGCTGCTTAAGAAACCCCTTGGGCCTGGAGATCTGTGAAACATCTCCATATACTCTGCTCAAAGAGTCTGAGTTCCTGTTGGAACCCTCGCCTAAAAAGTAGTGGTGTCAGGGGCATCTTTCAGGAATAGGTGGTTCTGTCTCCACACTTGTGGGGCAGGTTTGATTGGAGGTTTCGGGTCGACACCTGTCACTGAAAGTGCAACACTTAGATAGATGGCTCGCAAAAGCAAAACGTCAGTTGGTGAGTCGGTGAGTTTCCACGTTGCTGCATAGACCTTTAATGCAGTTAGACCTTGGCTGGATCAACGATATGGCGATCAATGGGCATAACATTGTTTTTTCAAAAACGATCAAAACGCGTTAGCATTTTACACGAAGGGTAGAGTCACAGCTTGCAAAAAGAGCAGATACAGGAATGTGCATCCACATAAAACCTTGCGGCTGAATCCCATAGCTTCATTGGCATGGCCAGGGACACAGCTGCCACGCTCCCTGCGGATGTTCCAAGTTGTGCGGGCACCCTCCTGGCCGCTGGGCCGCAGGGCCACGGCGGTGCAGTCCGTCTCCTCGAGGTGTTCGGGTGCGAAGGCTCCTGGAAAACGGTGCACCACAAAGTCACTGAAAACGGATGAGTTCTTGAATGAAACCGACGCATCGAATCAAAAAACCACTCCACCACGCATGGCACACCTGGAAATAAATGACACCACTACGGATAACCTTTGATCAGGTCTGTCAAGCACTTCTGATACTTCCACCCAACTTGAAAAAGCCATGGCGCACAGAACGTGGTATTCTTGGACAGGAGGGCTGTTCACCCCAAACGCACGACAAAACAGTCAATCCACACTGCTCCTCCCACTGCTCCGACTCAAGGGGAGTGGCCCATCCCCAGGCGTGAAGTCCCCACATGAAAAACATGATGAAGGTCCCCTTGCGTGGAATATCTTTTCATTGAAACAGGATCTCTGAGACAGTCTGTCACCCCACCTTTGCTGGAGCGCCGCGAGGAGGGATGGCTCGCATCGGAGCCCTTGAGGAGAGGAGCGCAGCGCGCAGCGCGGGGCAACCCTCGTTGTAAAGCGGGTGGGATGAAAACCCTGTGGTCTGATGTGCTCTGATGGTCCTGGCAACATGATGACGTTGGAGGATTTCACCCTTTGCATCCTTGGTCACGTGAGATAAGAACTCTGCCTGCGGCATCCCGAGAAATTTTCGGAGGCCAAGGCCACTGTGGCTCAAAGTACCTATATAATATAAGACATCCTAAGACCCAGAAGAACTGCAAATGTTGGTTAGTTTATCCCTCAGTAGAGGGAATGTACTCCAAAGTACCCATCACATCTTGAAACCAGACCCGTTTTTTGGCTTCTTGTGTCAGACAGGTCGATCACCCCAAAAAAGAAAGCAACTTAAGCAGTCCTTATTCAGAAGATCAACGGACGATTCAAGAGAGTCGCACCTGTTGTTGTGGGAAGAGGAAAAAAGAAATCCCCACATGACCACCTGGTCAAACCTGGTAGCGCACTCCCAAGGCCTTGGACATTCTTCGGTGCTGACCTCGCGAACGCGATGTACAATGAAAGGATGTACGACTTCTCACTTCACTTCAGTGAAATATCGGTAAAACACAGGAATGCCACAAGCTCTCTGCTGTCATAAGGCGCCCCCCCAAAAAAGACATGGAAAACGCACAGCACGTTCACGTGCGCGCGTCGCGCCCGCGCGTGCGCGCACCTCCTCTTGCGAAGCGAACAGCATATTCCGACCATCGCACACAGACCCGACACCACGAGTGCCGGGTACCGTGACACCCCAAAAGGACGGTTTGCTCCGTTCGTCTCCTTCCAGTTCGGCTCCGCAAGTGCCGACAGCTGTTGGGCCGAGGAGCCCTGGTTGCTCTCTCCATAGGAACGTCACCCCAAGTTAGGCACAGCCCAGTGAGGACTTGGGCGAAATTGCGTCGCACTGTCGGGGCCAATGGCGCGCGACCGCGCTCTGGGCCCTCAAACCGTGATGTTTTGGGTCGCTCCCAATGGAGACCTGACGTCGGGGCGACTCCATGACTCCATGACACCACGACCCTCCCACTAGGGTGCGTCCCAACATGCTACAACCATAGATGTCCAGCACTCACATGCATGTGTCTTCAAAAATTCAGGCCTTGGAGCAGTTGGATATCAGTCTCCGAAACGCCCTGGCGCCTTGGCTTCGACGAGATAACATCTGGGATCCTGGCTTTCGAAGATCTTCGGCTCTCACCTGTCAGGTTCATCCCCGCCCCCAGGTCAAAGGGATGAAGCCAGATCTGCAGCTGTGCCTTTACCTGTCACCCCTGGCAGAAAGGAACCAAAGCTCCATGAGTCCATGGTGACATATGACCATGGATCTTGTCCATCCATCCCAGGTCACCAGCGGCCGTTCCGTGCTACCCGCACCGGCACCCCCGGTTCCTCTCCGCTCCGATGGTCGTTCGGTCCTGGGGCTCAAACCGTGTCTTGGGTCGCTCCCGACAGAGACCTGGCTGCGTTGGCTTGGGGTCTGCGGTTGGCACGATGATTTGATGGTTTTGATGTGATCAACTGCATAGATGCGCTCTGTTCCAGCCAAAAACTCCGGCTAGGTTTAAAGCGATGATTCAATTCCTTCTCAACTGGCTTGCAGCCGCTTTTGACCCGGAAAAGGGCAGGCGTCACCTTTAGGACGACGATGTTTCTTTCTTACTTAGTTTGACGTTGTCGGAGGTCCCCTTTCAGGCTGAAGCCTTGTGTCCTACAGCTGTTCTACGCGAAAATCAACAGGAAACGTCCACGTGTCCTACCCAAATCAAGGTTGCCCTGCTTCGTAAGATACCAAAATAGATCAGAAGGGAAAAATCCGAATCATTCGAAGGATGGTAGGGGGCGATTCAGTCCTTTTTTGAGAACGGATGTTTCAGAGTTTCTTTGCACATCATCGGAACAAGAGCTCCCTGTGTAACCCCCTCGCCTTGGAGGATCTGCGGCTCTCGCCGCTCTCGCCTATGGTGGGCTCGCTATAGGCGAACCCGAAGCCCAGCAGTTCCACCCACCAATCCGTTCCGTACTAGTAGTAAGATCCGACAAATATGGATAGATGACTAGATGTAAGTCAGTAGATAGCTAATTCCAAGCCACTCCTCCAAACGTCCCTAAGAGTTTGTAACAAAGAACCCCCAAGACTTCCGCAAAATTCACCATGAATCCGATATATTGTCTAGTCGTCTTGCACCATAATGAAGTTAACCCTATTGATTATGTTAAACAAAAGAAGAACTCCATCTACATGAGCAATGGACAACGTCTCTGGTTCAAGGAACCTAGGGTTCATGGAGTACGGCACCCCATCAACCCCCCTGGACCAATGCAGATTCGGTCCGGCCTTTTTCCGCAAAACCCAAAAAAGGTGGATCGTCCGAACTTCCGAACCTTCTAGTTTAGTAACAAGAAGCTATTAATAACAAGTGCCACGCTAGTAGTAACAAGTGCCTTACTAGTAGTAACAAGAAGCTATTAGTTAGTTTAAAATTACTCCGGATGAGGACTGAGGTTCCCACCTTTCTGACTCTTTGAGGAGCGCCGTCGGCTTCCCCTGGGTGCAGGTGGTCGGGGTTAGGCGTTATCACTTGGTCTGGTACGACTCGACCTCCATCCCGGGCCTCCCGGGCCTCCTTGACATGTCTGGAGAGCGATTGAGAAACTCCAGAGGTGCTCTAAAGTTCTAACGAGGATGCTCATGGAAGCTTGTGGCTCGCCATTTTTTCCGGAGGTGTTTTCCGTCTGGGCAATGATGGTCATGTTCGACCTCCAGGAGGCTGCTCCCCACTGCTCCGGTGGCCTTACATGACTCGGCGCCCGGACACGTTTGGCTCGGACTCGAGCGGGAGGGGGTGTCCATCTTCGTTCATCAAACCCAAATCAATGAGCAAATACTCCATCTCTGGACGCCTGCAGGGTTACAAGCTGCGCGAGGAGGAACTACCCTTTTTGCTGAGAGTTTCAATCATTTTTGCAATCAAGGCGAAAGGGTTCTGCCCTCACTCCAGAACCAGGGCGACCGATCGAACCCAAGGAAAACAGGCCCTAGGCCCTAGTGGAGCTGTCCACCTACCCGCCCTGTCATTGCATCTTGCTCCTTTGATGGGTTTGGAAACTGCCTTTTGACCCCCCGCACCGAGCCGCTTGAAGCGCCGCTTGAACGGATTCCTCAGGGACCCCCTTCAAGCCGGACATGGAATTTTGAGGAAAGGGCGTCACGTGTGCACCTGAAGGCCTTCACAAAAGACAACCCACCCGGCCCGGCTGAAGGGACACATGTTCGACCCGTGAATTGGAACGATGAAGGCACACATGTTCCTCCACGAAGGCGCAGTGACCAACCTGTGATCGGGTCCATGAGTTCTGCTGGGAGTGAATACACAGTTTTCAGGACTATTTTGCCGAACTCGCAAGGCCTCAAGAGGTGATTTCTAGCAATGGAATGCAATCCTCGTCAACATCGCTTGTGCATGCTTGTGCCATCTAATTTGAAACCACTGCCCAAAGGGTCCCCCAACAAAATCCAGTAGAAATGGTGTCCAATCACTGATTGAATTTATCTATACTACCCCCAGATGAGTTAGGATGATTCTACGTTATTCTTTTTAAACAACCGTGTAATAATGCTTTCGAACGAGTTTCATATGTGAAAAACAAACGAAATATATATAATATATATTAATATAGTTATGTATAATGTTTATTAAAATATAATTAATCGTGAAGTTTGAGTGTCCCAATTTGGAATATACCAATTCAAAGAGATATATAAGCAAAGCTACCCTCGTATGATCTTGATTTTGATGGTAGATGCATGATGAGATGGGAGTTGTGGACACACTTGGAAACACATTGAGATGGAACTTCAAAATTTGCACAGTCATTTCACGAGTCCCAACTCACTACAGTAAGTGGAAGGAGTACAAGTGAAAGGCATGTTCGTCATTCATGTGTGACCCCTACACACATGGCTCCAAAACCTGGCTCCAAAACGTCCCAAAAGGTCCTCCCCGCCTTCTTGCACCCAGCCAGCGATGCGCTTGGCCCAACCTCGGCAACCCGCCGCGTCGGTCGCTTCGATCGGATCGGCCGGAATCGGCGACGGAATCGAACCAAATGGAAGGGGATTCCGTAGGTGGGAAGGAGTCCGTGTAGAGCTACAGCCAAAAGCAGAACTTCTTGAGCTACAGCCAAAACCACACATGATGCTCCCACGGAACCAAACGGAAGCCTTCCTCGAAGCAAATGATTCGCTTTCTGTGAACGTCGCCGGGCATAACTCCCAAACCCGTATACGAAAGAACAAAAGAATCCAAAACCGTCTCCTCTCTTTTTTCTGAAGAGATGGGTCAGATGGGTTGACAAGATATGGACCGAAAGTGAGTTTTCCCTTGGCAAGTCCATTGAATTTCAGGGCATCCACATCAAAGTGGCCCATCTTCCACCGACAAAGTGGCCCATCTTCGTCTGCCGGCTTTGGCAGTTCTGCCGGCTTCCACTGGTCCGAGCGGCCCTTGCCTTTTCAAGATGTCCGCAGGAGTCAACCCATCCAAGGCCCTTGTCTCCAGGTCGGCCTGGAACTTGTTGCAAAGCCACCTGCCAAAACACAGGTAACAGAAGCTGCAGCCACTTGTAGCGCCGCCGCTTGTTGGAGTGCGTTGTTGGAATAGGGATAGGGAGACCCCTCCAACTGGGTTTTGGTCTTTTGCCCACGGGGGTCTTTGGTCTTTTTCCATGATTTTCCCCTTGTTCTAATCTAATCCACACTGGATGCGGGCTGCCTTGCCGATTTTGCTCTGCCACGTCGAAATCTGATTATTTCAAGGCCAACGGCCAAACAGTCCGCAGCATCGGCACCGGCAGAATGTAAACTGCACCCAAGTCGAAGGGGTTAGACGATTGATCTTTCAGATCCAAGTTTGATGCTTCTCAGGTAAGAGTCCCGGGAAGCATAGGATTGGGCCTTCGGTGTTGTAAAGTCAAAGTGAGAGCCACAGTTCCAAACAAGCAAATCGTCCAACCCCTGACCTAGGTGTCCATGCAGATTTGGCATCTTGCCCAGTGGATCCTTGAGAATATCCACTACTGACTGTATTCAGTACATATAGTATCCTACAGGTCCACCGAAATGGATCAGTCCCAAGCTGGCCTCGTCCATGACTCGGTCTTTGGACCTGTAGGGTTTTCACCGGGTCTTTGGACCTGTAGGGTATATTCACTTCTGTCTTTTTTGTCTACTCGCTGCAGAGGTCACCCATCCACATGTTCACTACTTGATGAAGCACTCAAAAGCTTGCAACACCTTATCTGTCTTCTATGTATAGGTCAACGGACATGGATCCTGCAACGACTGACAAACTCCAGACAGGGCCCTTGAAACGGTTGAAAAGGGGAACAACAATTCCTTCTCAAAACGTCACGTTTCAGCTGAAGCCCTCTTAGAGAAGGGTCATGGCCGGTCATGGCTCCATTTGAGAATAGTGTGACCAAAAAAAAGACTCGTAAGATACACCGGTGCATCACCGTTTTGACGATCAAACACGGTCTGAGCCGGTCATGTAAGGCGCCAGTGACCCTTTGATCGGCCTGTGGGTCGTTTTTGGGCTGGCAAATCCCCGAGAAAGCAGGGCAGGTTGACCTTGATAGTCAGTTCTGCTCATTTTTGGTGGTCAAGCCAGGTAGTCTGGTGCCACCCACGGCCAAATGAAGACCTGAGATTCCACCCAGCGAGTCATCTTGAGCCGAGTGTGTCGGGTCTAACTCACTTCAGTCTCTAAACAAAAGTGCGGAACGAGCGGCTGAGTTTCTCCGCCTGGATGGTACTTCGACCTATGAAACAGGACTTTGAGAAAGTGATGGCGAGTTTTTAGCAGTTGAAGTAAGCTACAACCGTTGTTGGTTGGAACACCATGACTTGCTGGTACTTCATACTCCTCACCCCGGCGTGGAGAGCTCACCGGCCGCGGCACATTGTCCGCGGGCGTCTGCGGTGCTGTGTAGCTCAGGGTGTCCAGCCACAAAGGGATGCTGCTTGGCGCTCAGTGCGGTCATGCGTTGGTCAGGGCACAAGCACAAGAGCTGCCGGAGAAGGTCGCCACTCTCCTTGAAGCTCTGGCCGACGATCAAAAAGTGGCTTCAGGCCAGTGTCCTGCCACTTCGGATACCTCCCTCTCCAATGGCGGAGGGCCATTCCCCCCGGCCAGTGGGTGTCGCTTGGAGAGCCAAGTAGACGAAAGATCTTGAAGAGGGTATCCACCTCGCAATCACCCGGGAAGAGCGGGCGGTTGGTGGCCATCTCAGCCATCACACAGCCGGCTGACCAGCAGTCTATCTCACAGCCGTAGTTCTGGGCTCCCAAAAACATCTCTGGCGCCCTGTACCACAAGGTAACCACATCCGTGCTGTGGCTGGGGTTGGGCACGACCATCTCCCGAGCAAGGCGAAAGCCTGCGATCTTCAGGGAACCCTCGTGGGTCAGGAGGAGGTTCTGAGCCTTCAAATCCCGATGCATGACACTCCTGGCATGACATGCGTACAGGCCCTCCAGACGGTCCGAGCTATACCGTCGCAAATCCTCCATGCACATCATCTGCCCATTCCTCTTCAAATCCTTCAACACCTCTCCCAAATCACATTTAAGCAACTCAAAGACCGGCCGGACGTCTTGAAACCCCAGGGTCAAGACGTCCTTGAGCTGGACGATATTTTGATGCTTGAGCGACTGCAAAAAGGAGATCTCTCTTTGCGTGCTATGTATTTCGTTTTCCTGCCACACCTGGTCTGTGTGCATCTTCTTGATCGCGAACATTTGCTGGGAGCTGCATCCCACTGCGCGCCACACTGAGCCATACACACCCTTGCCAATCTCCTCCAAGACCACATAGTTGCCCCACAGGCCTAGACCGTTTTTGTCTTTTAACAATTGAAGCTCTGGGTACTTCTCCACCAACTGTTTGTCGACGAATTGCACAGCAGAGCCCGTGTTCATCACGGCCGCTAAGACTATCTCCTCATCGCCACACAGACGTGGTGCGAACTGCAAGGCCTCACCTGTTTGCGACACCGCTGCGAAGACAATCTCTCGGTCCCCTTGAAACTCCGACCCCAAGAATTCCAAGGCCAAGCCCGAATGCTGCAACGCCAATTTCGCCAGGTTACGATCACTGATGATCTGCTTCCAGCGAGCACAGACCAGTGGCACGTGCTCTAAAATCGTCGCCGAGAGTAGCTGCACCAAGGGGTGGGGATGATACAAAAGGCGCTGTAGCTTAAGGGTGTTTGTGTCACCCAGGCTGCCATCTCTACCTAAAGCCTGCAGAAAAGGAACAGCCTGGCGCTTGACAGCCCAGCTGGACTCACAGAAATGATGACCTGTCCGGCCAGGTCATGCTCCACCAAGGGCACCGGGCTCACAGCCTTCAATGCCTGGAGTCGAGACTCGCTGTCCAAGCAGCCCCCAAAGCTTCGGGTGGCATCGACCATCTCTGCCTCCTCCAACAGAGAGCTTGTGAATGCTGTCACGCCGGGCTGGAGTGCCGACTCCACGCTCTCTCTCTCTCTCTCTGTGGGGAGGAACGCGCATGACCCTGGGCGTCTACGAGCCAAGAAGTCAAAACCAACAACACCTTGGTATTACAGTCATGAAAGTACAACAAACTTTATAATATAGATATATTTCATTGAATTTCATTGAATAAACTATATACTTCTTACTGAGACTTTCGTGACTTTCGTGCTGGCTTTGGAGGCAAGCAAAGCGCTGAAAAAGTTTCTTGCGTGCGAGAAAAATATGTCTTGACTTTGTCAAACATGTTCATCAACCAACTCGTTCCAAGAGATCTTCAACTGATTTAAAAACAAAAAAAAGAAGAACGAACGGGTGCGCGCTCGGGCATCCTTCCCTTCAGCTCTTGTCCCAGGGGAAGATCCGTTGGCAGGTAGCCAGCTCCGCGGCTCGGGCATCCGCGGAGCGGACAAACGCCGCGGTCCGCGCCGGCGCGCGCCGTGCGCCTGATCACGTGTAGGTTTTGCTGTTCGCCTTGAGCTCCCGGCGAAGAAAGGCAGCTTGCGAGCGACGTAGGTCTCTGATCTACGGTCTTGTTCCTAGTAGTAAGGCCAGGAGCCCCTAGCCTTGCTCCTAGTAGCGATGCCCTTTGCTCCTAGTAGCGTCCTCTATTCCCTGCATTTCGGCTTTGAACTTCGGCACCAAATGAATGTTCCGAACACCAGTGTGACACTCAACGTGGTCTCTTGATGGCTCCAAACTGAAGCATCAAGGCGGAAGCCTCGATGTGGACCTGAGTCCAAACTAGGCCAACACCGTCCCGAACACCCCAAACAAGCCAAGCCTTTCTCGTGCGTGCCGTCGCCAGTCCCCCACCCGTCGACCCGTCGCCACGTGCCCTTCACAACGGGTCACAGGCGTAGAAGAGCAAAGACCAGCCCTTCGCATCCCGCGACTCCACCGAGGCCTTCAGCTCCACCAAAGACCTCACCGCGGGCGAACCCGCCGTAAACCTCGCGCCCACGCGAGGTCCGTGGGTCCCGACTCGAGCCGCCCCGACTCGGTTTAGCCGCGGATGATGTTGGAACCTGAAGAAGTCACGAGAGTCATTCCTCTTCACCAACGACCCCCCCAACGAATCCAAACAAGCTCCGGACCCCGCAAGCTCGGGCGGTTCACTCTTTCCAAGACACTTGAGGAGCTTCAAGTCCTCGCTGCCGATGAAGGCCAACATCAAACAGCTCCTCCCCTCGTAGTCACAGCCTCAAGTCCAGTCACAGTGTGCTTCCAGCGCTTAGATCACCGGTCACCGCCGAAGCGGGGGAGGCAACGCCGCAAACGCCATGAGCGTGAACGCCAGGGAGGCGCGCTCTTCCAAACGTCATAGGTGATGGCCTACCACATGTGCCTTCAACATCTGAACCACTGAACCTCCCCTAAGCATCTTCAACAGAAGCTCTTTCAGATTCAGTCAATGAACACAAATGTCGTGGCCGGTGTTTTTTGAAATGTTGGTGCTTCAGATATTTGTTCAGCCACTACCCACCATCAAATGCCCAAAGAACACGCCCGGAACGCGGGTCTCCACCCAGCCACGGTGAATGGAAGCGCCCCGTTCCAACAACAACTCCACCGTGCTGACCTCAGGACGACATGGCAGAGCCGCGATTGTAAAGGAGATTGACCTTATTACAATATGTGTCCATGATCAACCCATATTTACAAACTTGGGCTTGTGACTTTGGTCAAAAGGGTGGCTCAGGGCCTAATGAAACAGCTGAAGAGCAATGAAACAGCTGGGCCCATGAAACAGCTGGTTCTCTCCAGCTCACAGATTGCTCTCCAGCCTGCGGAGAGAAACTCACGCAGGCTGCTGAGTTAGAAATGATATGGATATGATCTACCCAGAAAAACAGAATGAGATGTACCAAATCGATGGGATCGACCATCTCTACCATGTTTGAAATTCATGGGATCTACCGATATACTAATACCATGAACAACCCATACTTTTCGACCATCTTCTTCGCTTCCTCCGTGACTTTTTGCGTCTCCCTGCCAGAACGACCACCACAAAGAGCGCTCATGTATTATCCATCAGCCTGGCTCTCGATTGTTAACTGGCCTGATGATAGAGTTGATGAACAGGATGATGATTAATCTAAATGAATCCGAAGCAAAAACACATGAAACACATGGTATGACTCATGACTCTACAAATCAAACCGGCCAAGTTGGCAAAACGACCCGGCCAAACACCGCCTAGCGCAGGTGCTCTTCTTCGGCCAAAGCGACATTGTTGCTGCTGCACGCGTGCATTAGCGGTGTCCAGCCCTTCTCGTCGATGGCCTCCACCTGACAGTTGAAGGCTCGTGACCCCGCAAGCTGGGGGACCTCAAAAGGCAACAGAATGGAGATAAGGCTTAATTTTTTGATCACCTACAGTATGGATCTAGGCTAGGATGATCTCGTTTCATGAATTGGTCCAGTCATCCCGACTCCCATCTGCCTCCGCCTGCGCGTCCAGAAGCAGCTCGCAGAGTTCCCGCACGTGGTCGTCGCCGGGCAGTGCGGCCGACGCGGCCAGCATCAGTGGGGTTTGCTGCCGGGAACTCCTGTGGAGACGAGAAACGAGACCGAGAAGGCTCGTGAAAACGGTGTGGATTGAGGTTCTGTTGGGATTGTTGCATCGGGTCTCAAGAAAAAGAGACTCCCTGCTGACTCCCTGCTAGTTGTTACCCATTTTGCCAGGGGTGGTATGTTGATTCACAATCGCAAAATCGCCAAAGGTGTCGGGCTGGAGTCTGTCCGTTGGTTTTTGTTCGCCACGGCTAAGTATGTGAGCGTTGTGCATTTTAGCCACCAAGAAAAGTGAAGAAATGCGGTTTGCCGGTTCGCCTTTTGATGTCAGCCTGGGGTTGGGGTACGATCCTCTTTCGCACGATGCGCACCTTCCATTCTGTTTACGGTTTCCATTAGTAACTAATAACACAGTTCCTTTGTTGCAGTGGTGACTCTACGTGATCCCGGTTGCCATTTTCTCGCAGTTTCCACCACCAGCATCATCCTTGACAGCCAACTGGGAGTTGGCTCCCGGATGCTTTCGGGGATTTTGGGAGAGAGACGCTGTCCTTTCAATCACAGGACAGTCTTCCAAAACCGGGCCAAACCAGGCCAAACCCCGCGCCCACCACGGCTCCGGCCCCCTCCCACCCGGCTCCACGGCTCCTCCGGTTCGCGCCGCGCGAAGCGTCGCCGCCCAGGCAGGTCTTCACCCCGTCCAGGTCGCCGTGCCGGAGCGCCGCGACGAGCGGGTCCTCAGGCTCCGAGAGCTGCCCTGCGCGGAGTCTGGGAGTGACGGAAGGGAGTCGATTTGGCGCAGGTTGCCATGAAAAGGATTGGGCATTCCTGGTTAGAAGAGCGCTGTGAGTCTAGTAGCAAGAAGCTACTAGGAGCAAAGGGCATCGCTACTAGGAGCAAGCTACGCTACTAGTAGCTCCTGGCATCGCTACTAGTAATCAGAAGCATTGATGCCACATGCCAGGGGAAACACGGCGACTTCCAGCCGCTTAGGCTTAGGTCGTCTGCTCGCCGGTCGGCCTGTGTGGTGCCCCTCAAAAGGCCTGGCTGGACGCGCATGGTCATGGGTGGCATGGAAAATCTGACAAGTCGAACAAACCTCATGGCATGACAAGGGTGCATTCTCCGGGTCCAAAGTCTTTAATGAACTCTTTCTTCAATTGTCGTTCTCTTGGCTCGAACGAGCATGCCCCTTTTGTGGAAAGGGGGACACATGGTCACATGGCCTCCTTGTCGCACGGTTGGCGGAGAATGTTCCGCTTTCATTCGGATGGCCACCCTGTGGACAGCCTTCCACTGCCTAGGCAGTAGAGGTGATCCTTCCAACTTCCCACCCATCCCTCGGCCTCACGTGTGGACCTAGAAAGTGCTCCGGATCCACGGTGGCATGGGGCGCCTTCTGGCGCGCCTTATGGCGCACCGGGCCTCCAGGCACATGGACAATAGCTACAGGCAGATTGACCAGGACCGTTTCTCTGAAACATCCAAACAAACTATTACAAGAATCCACCAACGGTGCACTTCCACTTGCTCGGGGAACGTGGTCACACCATCGTTTGGGGACAAAAGCATATCTCTCTGCCATTGTACATGACACTAGTTGCACATCAATCTGAGGCTGAGAGGGGAGTTGGAAAAACTGTGCTTTAGTACAACCACGCACAACTACCAGACCAACACCGGACCGTCACTTTCAGTCACCATCATCGCCCATTCATCAGTCATCTGCGCTTGTCACACAGAGTCTCGGCGCCTGGTAGCACTTCCTCTTCGGCCTCAAAGCAATTGGTGGTTGAGTGACCTTTGTACAGGACAACCGTCTTCCCAGAGCCCAGGCTGGCCCCCACTTTCCCTGTCTCTTGCATAGGATCGGATCGAGATATTGGTCGATGGAGGACAATGGAGGCGATGTGCAGAATAGAGGGGCCCGTTGAACACCATGGGATCTACTCCCAAAACCTCTGTTTCGATGTGCATGCTCTCAAGCCATGGGTGAGCCTGCAGGCACAACCTTTCGACACCGAAACGTCTCGTCTGAAATCAGAAGCTTCATAAACTCATAAAACCTCCGAACAAACTCGACGATGACGTGCGCCAGTTGCTTTCTCTTCCAGGGATTCGAAAACACATGAAAATGATGAAACATCATAATGCTCAGAGTCCTCAGAGTCCACGTCCTTCCAGCCCCAACCAAGCTCGCCTTCACGCACAAGGAGGGCGGCGCCGCGATGATGAGGGCCTTGTCGCCTCGCTCGGACCGTCGGACGGTCGGACGTTTCTCTGCACATGGCTGGAATTCTGTGGGCCCCCACGTGAACAGAATATCTTTCGGGTGTGTATGTATATATATATATGTATATATATACATATATAAATAAGATACTTGCAAAACAGAATCTGTGGCTTCCAAAGAGCTTGAAAAACTGGCCTGATGAGAGATGGGCGGGTTCACCCGTCTAACTGCCCACCCCCACCCAGTGCTTCAAGCTAGGCACAAAGGAGCTTGCATGGCAGCGAGCTTCCCATGGCGCGCCCAAAGGGACGTTCGCTCTGGGCCCACGTACTTCACAGGTTCCCTCTTGGAATAGGTGCATCAACTCAGTCCGTAGCCATTTCGGCTCAACCACGCCCTAGTACCGCTGCCGCAGAACCCGCAGTCGGTGAGGATGACTCAGTCAATCGGGGCTTTGCACTCATTTGAAGATGCAAGAGGCTCGAGGTACCTTGAAGTACAAGGGTGATGGGGTGAAGACAGCGCAAAGACTTTAAAGTCGCAACAAGTGCAGTGTCGTAAATATGCTGGTCGCTCTTTCACCAAGCTGCAGGCGCGGTGTCGGGCGGGTTCTGATGGGCCCAAATCAAGAGCCTTTCTTTTTCGGGGGGCCGTTCAGTGCTGGACTTGGGAGCGGCGCCCACGATCCCCTTGGCGTGTCATTGGAGATCCAGTCCTACCATCTGTAGCCCAGGCCCAGTGCTGGAAATGTGACTGGTGTAGGAGGTCTTGCACATGCACAAATCAACAACAGTTTGACGGGGTGAAACTTTACAGAAGCAAGCGGGCGTCTAAATGACAATGAGGACCTGATCTACTAGATATCTGATTTTGGAACCTGACCTCATAGTCCAGATCCATAAAAAGAATCTTGATCCCCAAAACTCCTCTCTCTCTCTATAATATATAATATATATATATATAATCTCTCTGGGAAAGACATGGCTGACCTACGATGGACACAACAAACAATGAGGATCCACCCAGGCCCAGAATAGCTCGTAACCGGGGAGAAATCTGCTGTACCGGTCAGCAGTGCTTCCAGCTTTCACATGTTGCAGCTCCTGCAGCTCCTCCGGGTCCATCTTCGCTGCGCGGATACGCGCGCACGGTGAGGCACTTTGGCCCCAGCGCCTGGTGTTCGGATCTGTGAGACAGACCAAGAGAAACATTTAGATATGTATATTATATATATATGGGCTACTGTAAATATTGAAAGGATATCGATCTTAATTGTCTCATAGCTTCTCTCCTCAAAACTGCATGGACATACACCCCAGTACTTTTTACGAGTCATGTGCCATGGTATGGCCAAGTGGTGTGTGGCCAAACAGATTTCTACATTCAGAAGAACAAATCAAGAAATTTCACAGGTGAACCTCTCACAAGCTAGTCAAAGGGAAAATTGACCTCAGGGGCCTTCCATGTTTTCAAACAAAACAACAGTTGGAGACAGAATGTCTTTGGATAGTCTTCTTCGTCCGCGCACTCAGCAAAGCTGCCGTCGCCGCTGCACTCCACCCCCGCGGAGGGGCGGCGCCTGGTGAGGTTGGATCAAAACATGATGAGTGACCTGGAATTTGGTGAATTTGGAGATGATGTCATGTGAGTTTGGGTCTCACATTCCTGCTCAAACTTTGCCAGTCAATGATCCTGTCAGAAGCCCTTCTTCAAGCCTTCAAGGACCAAAAAGGACTCGATTGGGGGGTCGAGAGGGGTCAGTGGAAGGCCCTGCCTGAGCCGTCATCGGAGCAGCGGCCATCGGGGGCGCCGTGGCCTCCCACCCGAGCGGAGTTGTTTCCCTCACAGGGCTGCAGGTGTTGTCTTCCCTCCAAAAGCACTACCCGAATTTGTTTGAGGACTGGCAGAGTGAACCCTTTACTGGAGGATAGGATGTAATGCTGTCAAATCTGCCATGCATGGTTTGCTCTAAGGTTGTGAAATGTGCAGGATCTGGAAGCCTCAAGATCTGTCCGGTGAAGAACATGTGAGGTGTGACACCCTAATTCCTGTTCCTTGCGAAGAGGACAGTTGTGGGAGAGAAGTCTGGGAGGGATTCAGAGAAGCGAGAGGTGACTTCGCCATCCAAATCGATACAAACCCATGACAAACATGACCCACAAAGTAAACTGACCACGGCCTGGGAGGGCGTGACCTGCGGGTATGAGGCCTTATTCGCGCAAATGAATGAGGGAAGCCAGATTCAGGCTCTTGGCAGGTACTACAACACCATGTTGGCACAGGACAACGTCACGCTTCTACCTCATCAATGGACATGGAACTCTCTTCCCCACAAATGTCTTGCCAAAATACAAGTCTAATAGCGGCAGTCGTCCACCTCACCTGCAGGGAACTTACAACTTACACCGAAAAAAACGTCATTGGGCCCAATCTTTTCTGCTGTTTGTGGCTGGCGCATCTTCTCCGCATCTTCTAGTAGCGAGTCTCATGACCAAACAGGATCAGGAACAAGCTACTAGGGGCTCCTGGCCTCGCTACTAGGAACAAGTTCTTGTTTCTGACCTCTTCGCCCCAACGCCCCGCTGCCCGCTGCCGGCTCGCTTTCTTCAGTCCCCCGACCGGCGGCATCGGCTGCGTCGGCCCGGTGCAATCTGCGGCGGTCGACCCCGGTGGCGAGGCACTGGGACTCAGCTGGTTTGAATTGAGAAAAAGACGCATCCATCTGAGTCGTATCATTTCCCCATGGGCCCCATGGTATATTGGAGCTCTGCAGTGGCTAAGCCAAGGCGCACGAGGCAGAAGGAACTGAAGCGTCTTTCAACATTCCTTCACGGGAGGGTTGTTCCTTCATCCCTAGGCTCTAGCTTCTTAAACGAACATAAAGGATCTAATACTCATGACCTTGCCACTCCCTCCACAGCACATCAAATCCAAATCGACTTGGGATCCAAATCTGAATCCAAATCCCACTATATATATATATAATTTATATATCCATCATCCGGACAAAAGGAACCTCGGCACTTGCTACAGCACCCGGCTCATCTTGGACCCCGCACCACAGGCATCACAGCAGATCTGACGAGGGAGCGGAGGGCACGACACCGGCTCCCCTCCAGGTGGCGCCACCAAGGTGGTGCCGATCTTTAGATCACCCTGAAAATGTCCCGCGATGGTTACTTTGTGGTCAGATCCATTGGAGCATCGGTCCAGACTTGTGGTCGGCTCGCCCATCATGCCACCGAGCTGCGCTGTTCTGCTTCCGCACCGCCATCCCCGCAGGTGCGGGCCGCCACACGTCGAAGATGAGCGGATGGGAGACCGCCTGCGCGGTGGCGGACCGCGGAGCCGTGGAGGACGGCAGGGGCTTTGGGCGAGCCCAAGCAACTGGTGACATGTTCTGCCATGTGAGGGCATGCGTGTGTGAAAGAAGGGGACCAGGAACTGCCAGCAACCCATGAATACTGATGATCTGAGACCCCAAGATCCACCTGGATGGCCATCCCTGAGCTCCCCTTTGGCCATCAAGAATTGGTCAAAATGGCCCACTGGGATGGTTGGACCCCCAGAGGACGTCCTCTTCTCAACCCTTTGACCATCCCAAACCTTCTTTCTGTTACCGGAGAGGGATTCTGTAAGTGATCGAAGATGCTAGGGATGCGTAGTGGGCTTGCTCACAACATCTCGTTGCTGCTGAGATCAAGAGATGTAGCCATAACTGGATGCTGAGATCAAAGAACCAATGAACTGTTCCAATGAACCAATGCTGAGGTGGGAGCAACTCAGGCCCATGGCACTTATGGCCTCTGGAAGCCCTCCAAAGCTCCAACCGTTTCCATCAGGAAAATGGATCAGATTTATTTTGAGGACAAAATACTAAGGGTGTAATCTCCTTTAACAATACAGCTCTTGGAGGGGTCCATGCATGCCACGTTCCATGGCTTCCGCATGGGAGAAATCATCTTGGTCGCAGCCGCAGCTGAAGTGCTTTTAGGATGCACCATCGATCGACCAGAGGGTTTCCGCGTGGTGCAAGTTTCTTTTCTATCCGATCAAAGCCAAAGCTGTAAAGTGGGCAGCACTTGGCTCTGTCCATTACAATTCCCTGGTGCCAAGCCCAACAGCCAGAGGACACGGCGTTCTCATCCTAGCCTGATGAGAGTTCATCGCCCGCCTGGCGAGTTCGACCATGAGCCCGGGTGAAAAGAAAATGTCAGATGTAAAGGTTTTTGTGTGTAAAAACAAGGAGATCCTAAAGACCCCCTAGAAGAAAGGTGTACTATGCCAAAACCCAATGGTTTGGGGCTTCCCTATTTAAATACCCACCGTTTCATCTTTACCCCATCACATGGGGTTAGCTGCCTAGCTAAAGTCAGGTTGTAGTCTCCCGCAGTCCCAACAGGAACCCACACCAAACAGATCAACAAATCCACCGGATGTCCCACCCACGATACATCTTTCCATCCATGATTCATTCATTCATCATTCATCCATCGTTCATCCATTCTCCATCCATTCTCCACGCCAACATCTCATCGCTTAGCGATCGCCTGATCTCCTCACTGAGCTGTGGCATGGTGGAAACTGGATGTCCATTCACCGACAGGATGTGGTCACCCACCTCACGCGCACGCGCTGAGAAGGCGGACGTGTGCAGTGCTGCAGGTGGGCCGTTACTCACGTTACCCAAGCTGATGGGAATGAAACACGAGGTTCAGTCACTACGGGGAGATGGCGATGCGTCAATCCCGCAAACGTCCTCCATAACCCTAAGTCTCCGAATGTGTTGTCCTGCCATCCTTCACGCAAGCCAATGAAAAGCAAAGCTATGATTCTGTAAGGCTGAAACCCGACGCTGGGCCGTTGCACCAACCGGACACCGCTTCGTCCGAAACTGCGATGAAACCCGTATGTTCCACGCCTGCCAGCCATACTGCGCAGCTGTGGGATTGCTAATCGCAGAGATCCAGCAGTTCTGGATGATGAGACCCAACCTCAAAACAAACAACTCAAGGACACAGTGACGTACTGGAGGTGCAAATGACAGATTGACAGAGGCATTTTCCCTATTCTGATGTCCAAGCTCCAGCGGCGTGTAGTGCCTTTTTCCAACCATCCAATCACCTTTGTGATAGTTATGATCTGCAAGTTGGACTTGTTGGAAGCACAATGTCAATTCGATTAGAAACTGCCTTTGGTCAAAAAAACGGTGCTGCTACACATCATAGCAACAGTGGTTATGGTCGCAAGCATTGTCCTCTTCTGGTTGTCGTACTAGTCGTTGAAACTGTGACTGCAACGCAAACACGACACAATAAATGAAAGTAACTATAAACAATTGCAACGTGAAGTTTCTACAATACCTAGTGACTACTAAGTGCCACTAAGTCACATGGTAGATATCTACGAGCTGTATCACCCAACACCAGATCGTGATCAACA